TATGTGGTTCTCCGTATCTGTGTTTTAATTTACAATTAAAGGGTATTGTTTAAAAAGCTCCTTAGCTTACACTCTGAGACAGGCAGTTGATCTCCCCTCATTTGGCATCCAGCATAAGCCATTTGTGTGTCTCCAAGGGACTCCAGACTCGCAGCCCTGCCCTGGGGTTTCAGGGGAAGGGATCTCGTGGACTCGCCCCCACCCACCTGTGCATGCACGCACGCACACAAATGCACACACATACATGCACATGTGCACACGTACATGCACACATGCACACGCTCATGCATGTGATCGCAGGGCCTGCTGCTTCCCGCCCCAGCCCGCTGCGACGTGGGCTTTCCTCCTGTTGTTCCCGGTGATGCTGTTGTCTGTCCTTGGCGAGTTCCCGAGTCCACATTTTATTCACACCTGCAGCGCCCTCCCTAATCTCGTGAAGCGACAAACCATTCTTTCCTGAATGGATCTATTGATCTTGCAGATTATCGGAAAGCCTTGTGTTCTCAAGCAAAACTTTATCCTACCCTTGTTTGCTTATGCCTTTATTCTTTAACCACAGAGTCCTCTCCTGGGCCTGACTTCGTTTCCTCATCCTTCTTTAACCCGAGCTAGTCCTCTTGGTAGGACTGGGCCACACAGAGGCTGTTTGACAAGCCTGTCCTTCCTTCCCCACCCTCGGATTTGACACCAGCAGCCAGCTGTCTAGAAGGGAGCCTCGACGTCTGGGCAGTCATTCGATTATTGATCACTGCCCGCCCCCCCCCGGTCCCATTGCTGATGGGGGAACAGACCGCCCGTACCTGCAGTCAGCCTCGCCAGCCAGGCAGGGCAGATTCCCACGTTAGGGACCTGGGATCCTGCACAGCTGGGAGCCACGTCCTGATCAAGGAAGTGCAGGGACTTGTAAACACCCCTTCCCACCCTCCAGTTCTCAACACTCAGCTAATTGTTGCCTCATTGTCATTGTCTTGTCTAAGAAGAGAATTAAGGAGAGAAGGACCCAGTAATTGTCTGTCAGCTTCCCTGATTTCAATTTTGTTTTCTGGGTTTCTTTTTCACACTTGTACCCAGAGCTTTGGCCCAGCTGGTCCCTGCGTTTCCCACTCTGCTGTACCAGCGGCCAGAGCGTAAAGGCTGAATGCTCAGAGCCTTTTCTTTTGTTTCTGCATCGAGACAAGGAGAGAGGGTGGGTGTAGGCTGTGCCTTCCCCACCCCCATCCAGGCAGGCGAGAGCACAGACCCCCAGGCCCAGAACGTAGCTCCACCGCTTGGACGTGTCCACCAGACCAGGGACCCCTGCACAGATCCAGCCCACTCAGTGCCACAGGGACACAAAGTTGGTTTTTTTGGAGTCTTAATATTGGTAATCCCACCCTCTTCTCAATACCACTCAAATCCCAACAGTCGTTAGAATCGCAGCAGCTTGGAGCTGCAACAGACTGTGGAGGAGGAAGGGAGCCAGAGGGTGCTAAGCCCGTCCCTGTCGGCTTTCTGTAGGCCCAGCCCACGCTTGCCGTGTCCCCACACAGCCGCCCAGCTCCAAGCACTGGCCTGTGCCCAGTTGCAAGCTCCTGCCACAATTTCAACTGTGCAAGAAATAGCACATTTCCTTATTTTCTTTAAATCACCTTAATTTGGCTTCACAACCCCTAAACTACCAAGGTTATTGAAACTTGGCCTTTCTTAGTGGCCCCACCCCAGCCCTAGGCGACAGCGAGGTTCCCAGTTCCCAGGCAGGATCAGGGTGCTGCTGAGGTGCTCTGGGCGCTGGATGCCACCAGGGCAGGGGTCTGAATGCCCACAGCTCAGGGACCCTCTGACCAGCTCCCTGTCCCCAGGCGAGGGGAGTCTGCCTGCCTCCTGCAGCGGCCTCCCTCCCAGACACTGGTCCTTTACTTCATCTCTCTGTGCCTCGGTTTCCACTGTTATAGGATGGGGTAATAACTGCTGACTGACTCGCTGTGAACATGAAACGAGTCATGAGACAGAGCGCTGCAGGCCACGCTTGCACAGCCATCAGCTATTGCTCCTGCCACAGTCCTGCTGGTGCGGCTGTCACCCAGCCCTGCCTGGCTCGGGGTTTGCCACGAAGAGGACAGAGTGCTGACTCCGCGGTGCCTCCACATACCTTCCTCCCCGTCCGTGTCACAGAGGCATGAAGCACGGCAGAGAGGGGAAAATACCGGGAGAACAAACACAAATCAGTATCCCTAAATTAGCCTGCCACACCCATGCTCAGTAACTGCTGTGCTTGGTTGAAACACTGACCCAGCCCACAGTTGGTGTTATTCCCATTTTCCTCAGTATTCATAGCCCGCTCTAAAGGTTGGAAGATTCCACAGCTTCCCAAAAATCCAGTCCTAGAAGATATTACTTACATTTTTGCATATGAAAAATGTCTGAAGCTTTGGGATAGACGCACACCCTCACACATACATAGTCTCGGCAGAGCTGTTGCAGCAAAAAGTTAACCTGTAGTAATCTCTCCCTTGGGTAGCTGGGACAGTTACACCTTTCTGGAAGCTGGCTAGGCTGCGTCAGACATGAAGGTAACCCTTCAACATCTCCGGAAAACTTTGTGACCAAGTTAGTACGCCTGGACTTTAACTATGGAGCATTGGGCCACTGTCCTGTGGCAGGAGACTGTGCCACATGCAGTCCCTCTGGGAGGCCCAGCGGCCAAGGATCGTGTCTACTCTCATGCCCCTCCCCCCGGTCCTGGCACCCCTGGTCGTTCCGTAACTCATTTCAGAAGCTGGTATTTCTTATAGATGGCTCCATTCTTCACTCTCTTTTTAAGGCCGTGTGGTGTAGAATGGAAATATAAGAGGGCGATCTCATCTTTATTTCTCAAATATTTTTTATTTCTCATTACTTTTTAATCGTATTCTTAGGTTCTTATTCTCTTTAATTATTTCACTCATTCTGTATTAGTTTTCTGGGGCTGCCATAACAGGTGCCACAAACTGAGTAGCTCAAACAATGGAGATTGATGGGCACACAGTTCTGGAGGCCACAAGTGCAAAATCAAGGTGTAGACAGGACTGTTCCTTCCGAGGGCCGTCCCAGGCCTCTCCTCCGCTGCTGCGGTTTGCTGGCAGCCTTGGTGTGTCTTGGCGTGGAAGCACCCCCGTCTCTGCCTTCATCTTCACGTGGTGTTCTCCCGCTGTGCCTGCCGCTTCTGTGCCCAAATTCCCCCTTTGTATGGAGACACCTGTCCTGCTGGATTTAGGGCCCACCCTAATGAACCTATCTTAACTAAATACATCTGCAGCAACCCCATTTCTAAAGAAGGTCTCATTCTGAGATGCTGGGCACACTTTCACAGCCATCGTAAGGGGCACAACTGAACCCCTTACACGCTCCCTGTTCTGTGTTCTTCCCATCGTTCTAGGCTCCCTAGCCCTCTTCCCTGCCCTCTGCTCAAATGCCTTTCTCAACACCGTTTTCTTCTTCCCTCCCTGTGGAAGATCTGGTGTCTGTGCAGGGAATCCTGAACTTTCTGGGCTCCGAACGAGTGGATGAGGAGGGGAATGGCTTCCACGCGGGCAGCAGCAAACACAGTAACGTCCTTTCAGACCGAGTCTCGGAACTTAGCAAACAGCCCGGGCTAGTTGTGCCCTTCACTCTGTTGGAACCAACACCCACTAATTCAACTGAATATAATTTGTTTAAATAAAATCTGTTAGGTTCTAGAAAATATGGTACATCTGGATATTAATGTGGGTTTACATAAGCAGGAAAATTGGAGTCACTTTCATATCACCTCTACTGGCATGTTTACTGCAACGAACGCTGCGTTTAACGGTTGCTGCAGGATCTCTTTCTATTCTAGTGGAGGCTAAATTAACCACTCTTCTATTTATTACCTGCTCATTAAAAAGTGTGGTATCTGAAGCCGTAATGAAAGCTTTCATTATCACTCATTCTCCCAACCAATACCCATTGTCCTTGCCAAGGACTCTTTTTTTTCACGTGGAGACTCGGAAAGCCTGTGCCCCACAACAAAACAGTGATCATTGTCTGAATTTTAACCCTCATTTTCTTAGCGTTTGAAAATACTTAAAAGCTTTTTGTATTTTCAGTATTTCACACACACATAAATGTGTGTACTTGTCATACGTACATCACATTCAAAGCTCTGCAAGGTCAGGACTTGCTACGGGAAGAAAGCATCAGGGAAAAAAAATCAAGACTCTGTAATTCATTCATCGAATATTTTTACTCCAGATTCAGATTCAAATCAAGGGAGAATCATATGAGCATGTAAAGGTCCATCGTCATGACAAATGGAGACAGCCAAACTAATTTTCTTGGTGACCTTATCTAAATTAGTTAGAAAATAACACTTCAGATTTATGACTAGTTACAATTAAGCCCTTTGATATCTTCTAATTAAACCTGTAAAGATTTATTTCTGTATTATTCCTTTGGTAATCCTTTAAAAATGATAAAAATGTAAATTAATATTACCCTCAAAAAGAGATGTTTCTGTTTATCCTAAATTAGACTCATACCCTTCCTTTCACGACTGTATTTCAGATTCAGATTTACGCTGCTCCAATGCAAATTCCACGTCCATCTTAAATCATTTATTTTTAAAGTTTGTGCAAATGTTATACATAATCTCTTGGAATATAAATAAAGCAAAACTCACTGTATTTTAGCGTTCTTTGCATGTCCCTCATTTGAGAACTTTGTCCCATTTCACATAACTCAATATTCAAATGTTATTTTTAAAAATGTTAGGAGGTTAACGTAATAGTCAACCTAATTCCCAGTTTCCTACAGCTAGGATAGCAATGGTTTCTTGCCTCAATGGTTTTTCTTCTAACCTTTATCTGAGAAAAGACGTGTTCTTTATCATTCTCCCTAATATGACTAGATTTACTATGAAATGTTAAATGTGTATTCTGTGATAATTTTGCAAGTGCCAAAATTATACAGCTCAGACCAGAATCGTTTCCCACTAACTCATCCTCTGTTTCTTTTCTCTCCAGGTGAGTACAGCTACCTGGGGACGACTCTTCGCCAGGTATCCATAGAACCCATGCCTTCCCTGCTGGATGTCAGACAGCTCATCACGTTGTACGGAATCTTGCCGTTAGGTAAAGACTCCACACGCACTGGGGTGCCTTTTCTGCAGGCACGCACACACCGCTTCCTGTTTGTCACCAAAGGTGCATGACAGCTTAACTTTTCCTATCAGGAATTCTGAGTGAGCAGTGTCACTTCGATAGTCATCCACAAGCACACAAAGGTACCACCGGGGAGCACACTTCCGCCATCTCCGGGTGCCTGTTTAACAGTCCTGGGCTGAAGGACTTACAGGTAATGAGCTGGAGAGATAACAGGCACAGCAAGTACCTGCAATTAAAATTCATCAGATTAGAAAAAGCGCTAGGGTTTCCACTTGCCTTTTACGCACAAGCTTCTAGTACTAGGTCCTAAGCAGACGTGGCCTTTCAGGAGTCAGTGAAAGTGTATTTCATGGATCTAAAGGATCACCTTTAAGGCTCTGTCAGTTCTCACTGAAATCCACCCTCACTGCTAACTGAGGTTCACTTGTGATTTCACATACAGATGCAGCAGAGCTCTGCGGTGCACCAAGTGATGCAGGAAAGGTGGGCTGCTCTCCCTCACTTTGGTTTTTTATGGCTTTGACCTGTGAATTAAAGGCTGAATCACCTGGGGCGAGGACAGCAACTCCAGCTGGCCTGTGCCCTCACAATTCTGAAATAGAAATCACATTTTGTTTGTTTAATTCGCTTTAAAATGAAATGGGGCCTGTGCAGTGGCTCACATATATAATCCCAGCACTTTGGGAGGCCTACACAGGAGGATTGCTTGAGGCCAGGAGTTCGAGACTACCCTGCCTCTACAAAACCTTTTTTACTCGTTTGCAGTCCCACCTGCAGTGTGTAAGTGTTCCTTTCTCTCCATACCACGCCAGCATCTGTTGTTTTGGAAGTTTTTGATAAAAGCCATTCTCACTGGGGTTAGGTAATATCTCATTGTGGTTTTGATTTGCATTTCCCTGATGATTGGAGATGTGCAACATTTTTTCATATGTTTATTGACCATTAGTCTATCTTCTTTTGAAAAGCTTCTGTTCATGTATTTTGCCCACATTTTTATGGGGTTATTTGATTTTTTTTCTTGCCGATTTGCTTGAGTTCTTTGCAGATTCTGGTTATCACCCCTTTATTGGATGTATAGCATGCAAATATTTTCTCTCATTCTGTAGGTTGTCTATTTGCTCTATTGATTATTTCCTTGGCTCTGCAAAAGCTTTTTAATTTAATCAGGTCCCATTTGTTAATTTTTGTTTTTGCTGTGATTGCCTTTGAGGTCTTTTTCATAAATTCTTTGCCTGGGCTGATGTCTATAAGAGTTTTTCCAACATTTTCTTCTAGAATTCTTATAGTTTCATGACTTAGGTTTAAGCCTATTATCCATCATGAATTAATTTTCATGAGTGATGAAAGGTGCAGATCCTGTTTCTGTCTTCTACATGTGGCTATCCAATTCTCCCAGCACCATTTATCTTATAGAGATTCTTTCCCTCAGTGTATGTATTTGTCTGCTTTGTCAAATATCAGATGGCAATATGAGGATGGTTTTATATCTGGGTTCTCTGTTCTGATCCGTAGGTCTATGTCTCTGTTTTTGTGCCAGTACCATGCTGTTTTGGTTACTATAGCCTTGTAGTATAGCTTAAAGTCTGGTAAAGTGATGCCTCCATATTTGTTCTTTTTGCTTAAGGTTGCTTTGGATATTTGGGGTCTTTTCTGGTTCCATAGGAAGCATAGAACTATTTTTTCTAGATCCGTGAAAAATGACATTGGTATTTTAATGAGGATTGCATTGAATCTGTAAATCACTTTGGGTAGCATAGACATTTTAACAATGTTGATTCTGCCAATTCCTGAGGATGATATGTTTTTCCATTTGTTTACATCATCTGCGATTTCTCCTCAATGTTTCATAGTGCTCCCTGTAGAGGTCTTTCACCCCCTTGGTGAAATATATTCCTAGGTATTTTATTTTCTTTGTTGCTATTGTGAAAAGTATTGATTCTTTGATTTGATTGTCAGCTTGACTATTGTTGGCATATGTGAATGCTACTGATTTCTGTACATTGATTTTGTAACCTGAGACTTTGCTGAATTTATGGAGGTACCCCAAAGAACTAAAAATAGACCTATCATTTGATCCAGCAATCCCACTACTGGAGATTTACCCAAAGGAAAAAAAGTCATTTTATCAAAAAAACACTTGGACTCAAATGTTTGTTACAGCATAATTCACAATCAAAGATGTAGAATCAACCCAAGCGCCCATCAATACATGAGTGGACTAATAAAATGTGGTATATGTATACCACGGAGTACTACTCAGCCATAAAAAAAATGGTGAACTAATACCTTTTGTAAAAACCTGGATGGAGCTAGAGACCATTCTTCTAAGTGAAGTTTTGCAAAAATTGAAAAACAAACACCACATGTACCCACTATTAAATCTGAACTAATCATTCAACACTTATGTGTACGTATGGAAGTAAAACTAAATGGAAACCAAGTGGGGGGAGAGGAGGAGGATATGGGAAAGTTCACACCTAACGGGTATAATGCACACTTTCTGGGTGATGGGCACACTTATAACTTTGATTCAAACTGTGCAAAAGCAATTCATGTAACCAAAACATTTGTACCCAAGTAATATTCTGAAATTTAAAAAAAAAAAATTTTAAATTAGCCAGGTATGGTGGTACACACCTGTCATCCTAGCTACTCAAGAGATGAGCTAGGAGGATCACTTGAGCCTGGAATTTGGAGGTCCCTATAATATGATGGCATCACTGCACTCCAGCCTGGGCAACAGAGTGAGACCCTATCTCAAAAAATAAATAGACAAGATAAAATAAAAAGAGATGGGAGTAGTTCAAGCACTTACAATGCTGTTCCACTTTGACTTAAATAAGAACTTAAGCTTAAGCCTATTGGCAAGAAATAGCTAATTCTTCTTCTAATTTAATATCATAAGTAGTAAATGGAATTTGAGGTCAACACAAATTTTATATATATTATACATATAATAATACACATGTTTTATATAATAATATATAATAATAAAATTTATATTATATAGTACAGATAAGTATACCATATTTCAGAGGCAACATAATTTGGGGTCAACAAAATAAATATGTAATATTTGTGAAGTCAATGTAAATAAAATAAATAGATTAGACCTCAAACCCCATCATAGTACCATGGAAGGCAGAGTAGCAGAAAGCTCCAAGAGTCAACAAGTTTTTAAGGGACTTCCTAACAAATGAGAGTATTAGGTTACCTGGGCTCTTGGATACAAGGTATACGAGCTGTCCAAGCTGGCTTTGAAAACATCACCAAAGCGCCCCCAGGAGGCACCTCACCTGGACCCTCCCTTTGTCCTTGAGGAGTCCTCCGGAGTAGAGCTAGCTAGGGCGTTTGTTCTCATGACAGATTTTGGGTCGTGTGTTTGGAATGCATAAATAAGTTGGGCAGATGAAGTATGTCCACAGGTAAGCTGCTGGGTGCTTAATTTAAATGTCATGCGTTAAAATAGCATCCTGTTGCAGAGAGGAATGTTTTTGGCCCAGACTGTTCAGGTCACCACAGTGGTGGCCACTGCCCAGACTAACAAACCCAGCCACTCAGCAGAGGACCTTGAGAACATCTTCACGCGGCCACTGTCCACCCCTAGCCAGGAGACACCCGTGCATCCTGGGCTCCCGGGACTACGGATTAGTCTCCAAAGCCCCCTTGGTAGGTAAGAGAAAGCCCAGGAAGTGTGTGGCCAGCGCTCACCCCCCTCCTGGAAATGTTACTGCCCCTGAAGATCAGGGAGGAAGGGAAGAGAAGGGACACTCGCTGAGCAGAAGGCCCATCCTCGGAGGTTTCACAGGCACCATTAATCTCCCACCAGAACCCATCCAGGTGGGCGCTGTTCTGGGATGCAGAGGACCTTCCTCAGAGTCACGGGGTTAGGAAGAGGCAACGCTGGTTCAGGACAGAGAATGCTGGCCTCCGTGTTACTCTTTTAATCCTCTGAAAGTCGAACAGCCTTAGGCACGAGAGCTGAAAGGGTGCTGTGTCTCTCGGTGACTCTAGGACAGGTGCGGGCCAAGTTGCGGATGCTGGGGCCCATGTGTCCTGCTGGCTCCCAGCCCTCTACCCGCCTTCCCCCTCCTGGACTACCCTCTGCACCTCTATGAGCGACCTTGGTGACCACCTCCGTCCTCTGGGAGGCCACTTCCCTGTGTGCCTACCCGGCTTTCTCCTGGGTCTCCTTCTCGCCTGCCTTGCTCCTCTTCCCTCCTGCTGCCTCTCCCTGGGATTCTCAGCGCTGTTCTCCTCCTGTCTCCCGGGAACCTCTCCCAGATCCCGTTTCGGCCAACACCCTGGACACCCTGCGATCCACCAACCTCCCTCCCCACCCCTGGCTGTCTCCTGCCACCTTACTGCACCCCCGTAGCAGCCTCGTCTCCCATTGTGGGCCCGCATCACTGCGCGCCTACCTGGAGCCTGCCCACACCCCCTCCGCTGCTGCTCCCCTCCTGCCCCCTGCTCAGAGGCCGGCTCAGAGGCCCCCTCTGCCTGCAATTAGTCTCTTTTCTGAACACTCTGCAGCTCTCAGAGATCTTGGCCCTGTTTGCCTCCCATTCTAGCTATATCGACTCATGTCTTAGCTCCACTTCTGGCCATAAACCCTCGACAGCAAATCCTGCATCTTTTCTATATTTGAACTGCCCCCTCAGCACGGCCCCCAGCCAGGGCCATGCACACAGCAGCCTCCAATACCCCGTGCTGAACGGACGAGGAGAAAATGGCATCTCTTTCTTCCATTGTGGAGAAGAGTATCTCCTTTGTCACATTACATGCCTTTATCCCTCCCTAACCAAAAAACACGTGCTCGTGTAATTATGTTTTAAAGAGAACTTGCTCAAAACAATTTTCCAAGTTTATGTGGAGAATGGTAGATAACCATAAAAATTATGTTTCTAACAATCACTTAAGTTTCCAAAGTCTTTTCAATTACAAAAGGAAAGCGTGATCACAATTATATTGACCTATTTAGAGCTGATCAAAAAGAGCCCAGTAGGGACCAAAAGCACATTGGCATGATAGGTTTCAGTTTCAACCTTTTCGGGATTTAATTCCACTCGCTTCATAATCACTTAGTGCCTAATCTGCTCTGCCTGTGTCCTACGATGGAGAACACGCAGGCCTGAGGCCCCTCCTGGGCGCCAAGGAAATTGACAGGGTGGTTGAGAACAGGAGGCATGAACCTCCGAATGACTGCAATAATTCAAGTCACTTTATTACCGAGTGTCAGATTAACTCTGCCGCTCCTGGCCAGCTAGGAACCAGGACGGGAGAACAATCCGGTTTCTGCCCCCCAGAGCATGGTCTTCCCCTCCATCTCATAACAATGGCTAAATGCTAAAAAGAGGGTTTCAGGGAAATGAACACGTCTCAGCCAACGTTAACTGTCTGTGTCTCCATGTTCCCCTTCCCAAGCTTACAAAGAATTTAGTGCTGTCGCTGACAGGCAGAGAAAACCCCTCCAAAAAAAAAAAAAGCTGGGGATAAGCTATGGCAGGAATGCACTTTAAAATTATGAGGTTGGGGGAAATATTGGTGTGGGGCGGGAAAGAGGGTACTGAGACCCTGTGGCTCCACCAAGAGCCCTGACGTGCAAATTAAAGGTGTCGCAAGCCAGCTGCGGTGGAGGCGGTGGAGGCGTGCCTCTGGTTTGAAACGCTTTCCACTCATTTATCACTGTTGCGGAAACTGGGGTCGCGCAATGCAGGAATGGCCTTGAGATACCCCAGGCTGAGAAAAACCGATTCTCTCGGCAGGATATTAGAGCCTTTGCCTCTGCCTTTCTCAGGTTCTGCAGCAGTGCATGCAAAAGCCCCCTTGGTGAAATCGCTGCTGTTGGTCGGGCCATCCGGGGTAGGGAAGAAAATGCTGGTCCATGCCATCTGTACCGAAACGGGAGCCAACCTCTTCAACTTGTCCTCACGTAACATTGCAGGGAAATACCCTGGCAAAAGTGGCCTCCAAATGATGCTGCATGTGGTCTTCAAGGTACTTATTACATTTCTTGGTTTCCAATTCTCCTCCCTCTTGCAAATTACATTTTTAAATCCTGCAGATAATTTTTTAGGCTGACAAGCACGTTTCTCTTAAGCTTCCCCATTGTAGCCTTCTGTAAATTACTTCATTATTGCATCTGGCTGAACATGCAACAATTTGACACAGCTTCTTTCTTTGCATAACACACCCTACTGTGCCATCCAGATCACCCTCCTTCTGCCACAAAAATCCTTCCTGAAATGCTTGCACGTCTTATTGAAAATTAAGTCCACAATTTCTTTTTTCAACCCACCTTGCTTTAATAATTGGCATCAGGCAGAGTTATTTGAAATTTTGGTATTCTTTCTCACAATGCGTACATTGCCCAGCTACGGTCCTGCGCTCTGTGTACCCCTGGCACGGGTGTGACGGAGAAGCCTGCAGCAATGTAAATACACACGATCACAGGGTCGGAGACAGGTGTCCTTAAAGGCTGAACCCACTACCCAGCTCTGTGATTTTAGCCAAGCTCTTAACTTCTCTGGGTCTCCATTTTACCATCACCAAAATGAATGAGTTTTAAAGAACTTTGATAGAGGATATTTTATATTTAATATTAAGACTTTACAGAATTTAATTTTTATCTGGTTGACGACCTCAAGGTTATCCTTATGATAGTCAATTCACTTTAATTGCTAGAATGCCGGCTTTTGCTATATCAAAACCCACATGGCTGCAAACACTGTCCTATACTTGCAGCTAGACATTGGCTCTGTCTGCTTTCTAAGGGGCTGTAAAGCACGGGAGGTGCTTACAAACGAAATGGTTTATAGGAATGATAAGCTGATGGGAATGGTCCCTTTTCAGCATCATGCTAATATGCCAGAAATGAGGAAGTGACAGCAGCGGGATTTCTTCCCGTAGCCACGTGGTCCCTCCCGCTGTGACGACTTAGGACACTCCCATTCCCACTCTCCTTTTCTCCCTGCCTGTGATGGAGGAATACGCAGAGGAGTCTGTGGAGTATACAAGTGCGTGACCACTGTTTTCGTGCATTTCGGTCATTGTGTAACTTCGTTGTTGAAATGTCCGTTCAAGTCATTTACCTACAATTCACCCTTGAACGATGCAGGGGTGGGGCACTGACCCTCCACATAGTCGAAAATCCAAGTATAATTTTTGACTCCCCCAAAAACTTAACTACTAATAGCCTACTATTGACCGAAAGCCTTACCAATAACATAGTCAATTAACACATATTTTGTATGTCATATGTATTATATACTCTATCCTTACGATAAAGTAAACTAGAGAAAAGAAAAGAATATGTTACTAAGAGAATCATAAGGAAGAGAAAATATATTTAAGTGGAAGTGGATCATTGTAAAGGTCTTCATCCTCGTCTTCACGTTGAGTGGGCAGAGGAGGAGGAGGAGGGGTTGGTCTTGCTGTCTCAGGGGTGGCAGGGGTGGAGGAAAATCCACATACAAGTGCACCTGTGCAGCTCCAACCCTTCGCGGCTCAACTGTACTTTTTTCACTGGATCACTGGTTTCATTGGTTGATTCAATGGTTAATTCAATATTTTTTAGTATTTCAAAATTTCTTAGACTTTTAAAGAGTTGGGAGGCAGAAGAGGAGGAAGGCAGGTAGGGCACAAAGAAAGGCCGTTAGCTTTCCAGAGTGCCTTAGGCGTTTCTCATCTTCTGTTGTTGTGTTTAATTTCACAACAGCCCACGGAGAGTCCCTCCCTGCCTTTGTCTTACAGATATAGAAGCTGGGCTCTGCAGTTAAGTAACTGGCCGGAGGCCACCGAGATCCCGTGGCTGAGCTGGGATTCAAACTCAGGCCCTTCTCTTCTTTTTTCTCCTGTAATATTTTTAGTAAGGCAAAACTTACATACAATGAGATACACCGATCTTAAAGTGTACATTTTCATGAGCTTTGAAAACTGTATACAACTATGTAACCACCATTTTCATGTACTTTTTGGTCTTTGCATAACTTTTTTTTTTTTTTTTTTTTTTTTTGAGATAGAGTCTCACTTTGTTGCCCGGGCTAGAGTGCCGTGGCGTCAGCCTAGCTCACAACAACCTCACACTCCTGGGCTCAAGCAATCCTACTGCCTCAGCCTCCCGAGTAGCTGGGACTACAGGCATGCGCCACCATGCCCGGCTAATTTTTTCTATATATTTTTAGCTGACCAATTAATTTCTTTCTATTTTTGGTAGAGACGGGGTCTCGCTCTTGCTCAGGCTGGTCTCGAACTCCTGAGCTCAAACAATCCGCCCGCCTCGGCCCCCCAGAGTGCTAGGATTACAGGCGTGAGCCACCATGCCCAGCCCTTGCATAACTTCTTGTTTGAAATGTGTGTTCTGGTCATTTGCCTACTTTCATTGGATTGTTGGTCTTGTGATTTGTAAGAGCACTTTTTATATCAATGGATTCTGGCTACTAGTCTTTGTCAGACACATGCATTGCAAATGTTTTCTCTCATTCCGACTCGCCTTTTCATTTTCTTACTGATTTTTTCTTGTCTAATTGCTCCATCAATTTCTGAAAGGTGGTGTTAAAACCTCCAGCTATGTGGATTTCTATATTTCCTCCTTTAAGTTCTGTCACTTGTTTCATATGTTGAAGCACTGCTTTGAGATGCATTCACATTAGCATTATTATGTCTTTCTTCCTGATTATTTTATCATTATGAAATGTCTTTTATTTTCAATGTATCTATGTCTTCCTAGTTAAAGTGCTTTTCTTGTGGATAGCGAATGGTTGGGTTTTGCTTCTTTATTCAATCTGATAATATATGGTGTTTAATTGGAGTGTTTCCTTCATGTATATTAAATTCAATTATTTACATGGTTGGGTTAGGTCCACTACTCATCTTGCTATTTGTTCTTCATCTGTCCCATTTCTTTTTTTAAATTCTATTTCTCTTTTCCTGCCTTCTTTTGGTTTTAGCAATACCTCTTTTTTTATTTTTAGTGGTCATTCTATGGATTACAATAGTCATTCTTAATTTATCACTGTCTATGTAAAGGTAATATACCATTTTACATAAAATAAGAGAAGCTCGCAACAATATAACCCATTTATTATCCTCTGTCCTTCATGTTTTTATGATCATACATTTTACATCTAGAAATGTTATAAACACAATAGAATGCTATTTTTGCATTTAACAGTCATTTGTCTTTTTAAAAAATTAAAAGAGAAATACAGCCTTTTACACATACCCATATATTTACTATTTTCAGTACTTCTGTTTCTCTCAGTTCAAGTTTCCACCTGCTGTCATTTCTTTCAGCTGAAGAATTTCCTTTAGCATTTCTTTTAGTGCAGGTCTGCTGGAAACAGATTTCTTAGCCTTCATTTCATTTATCTTTAAAGTTTCTTTACATTGCCTCCATTTTTGAAGGATATTGTTGCTGGCTATAGAATTACGAATTGACTTATTTTTTTGGCATTTTAAAGATATTATTCCATCATCTTCTGACTATCATTTCTGATGAAAAGTTATCAAATTTTGAATTATTTATTTCTGTGTGTAATGTATCATTATTCTCTGAAAGGTTATAAGATTTTCTCTTCATTTCAGTTTTTCTGTTTGACTACAACATACATAAGCATTCTCATTTGTTTATTTATACTACTTGTGGTTCACTGTGCTCACTGAATCTGTAAAAATATGTTTTAAAACAAATTTGGGGATATTTTGTGATTATTTTCTCAAATTTTTTTACTTCATTCTCTCTCTCCTCTTCTTCTGAGGCTTCAGTTACATGCATGTTTGACTGTGTGATATTGTTCACACAAGTCACTGAGGTTTTGTTCTCTGCAGTTCCCACACTGGATGCTAATCTGCAGTCAAGTTTACCCACCCTTTCTTCTGCCATTTCCAATCGGCTATTAAACCCATCTTGTGAATTTTATTTCTGATATTTTGCTTTTCAGTTCTAGAATTTACATTCACTTACCAATATTGGTGTTCATTTCTCTGCTGTAGTTTCCCATCTGTTTGTTTAATATGACCATCTTTTCCTTGAAATCTTCGAACTTGATAATTGCCTTATGTTCTTATGTGCTAACTCCAATACTTAGTCATCATGGGACCTATTTCTATTTGACTGCTTTTTCCTTGACCATGTGTCACATTTTTTTGTTCCTTCACATGATTAATAATTTTTTATTACATGTTAGACTTTGTGGATGCTATGTGGTACAGACTCTGAAGCAAGCTGGGCTTTGTTCCAACAGACAATTAAATTGCTGGCTGATCAGCTTAAATTTTCAGAGGCTTTGTTTTCTGTTTTGCTTTGACTTTGTCCTTAGTCCAAGGCAAATCCCTTAGTCCTGGGACATGGTCTTTACTTCAAGGTTTCAGTGGAAAATCTGTTTCCCAAACTCCTCTAACTTGGCAGTAGGTGGGGTATGTGCTCAGTTCTTTTAATTTTCCAGCAATTGCATTTCACTGAGCTTCCTGGAACCTTCCCCCAGGCGTGCACACTTCTGAGGTTAGTCAGTGTTGGAAGGTGAGCTGGAATTTGAAGCCAGGCAGCCTGACTGTGGCCTCCACATGCTTAATCGCCAAGCTCTAAGCACTAAGTTCTTCAGAGGAACAGTAAAATAAGCTCATGCTCTTGCCCAAAAGAACACCTAAATTTGTTCATTCTAAGCATCAAATTTTGTTGACACTTGATATTGTCAAATAACAGAAGCACGAAAATATAAAAATATTAGTAGTTTGCAAGCAATTCTATATCCCAGACCTTTCTATACATCACTGTGTATTAGCTTATTCAATCTTCACAACAACCCTGTGAAGTAGGTACTATCATTATATCCACTTAACTGATAAGGAAACTGAGGCACAAGGCATTTAAGTAATTTTCCTTTGTTGTAATACTGTGATATGACCTCACGTGGTCTGGTCCAAAGCCTCCACTTTCATTACTGCACTCTGCAGCCCCCGCGTGAAGCAGGGCTGAATTAAGAACCTCGTTTCCTCCT